TTATCAAAATATGAGAACACGCAAAGAACAATTCTAATAAAATATTTCTTACGTTAATTTTTTTCGTCACTTTTTGAAAGTTTGATTGTGCCCCCCAACATAAAAAGTCTGCGTCCGCCCCTGACCACGACCGCCGTCAATTCCTCCCACCACCACAACCTTAGCTGCAATTTTTCCTAAATTATATACCACGAAATTGTTGAGATGTATCGTAACTATTGTTGCTTTTTTTTTTTTTCAGTTGACTGTAAATAGCAAGCCTTCCGGGCACTGGGTAGAAAGTGGGCATATCTTGCAAGGCCATTCACGTATATTGCATTTTATTACAGTTGCTCTTAGGCTTTATAATCTTGCCTTTTGGGATTCAGCGCTAATTCTGTTCTTTATACAACACAAAACCAGCTGGGAACGATGTGATTGGTATTGACTTGGGTACCACAAACTCTTGTGTTGCTGTCATGGAAGGGAAGGTAAAATTCTCTATTTACATTTGAATATATGCCTTATGCCTGTTAATGTTGGTATTCACTTCTTGTAACTCATGTTGTTTGCAGAACCCAAAAGTTATTGAGAATGCTGAGGGTGCTCGGACCACTCCATCGGTGGTTGCTTTTAGCCAAAAGGGAGAGCTACTCGTTGGTACACCAGCAAAACGTCAGGCTGTCACCAATCCGACAAACACGCTTTTTGGAACGAAGCGTCTAATTGGGAAGTCTGTAAACAAAGCCATGGTCACAGTTCCAGCATATTTTAATGATGCTCAAAGACAGGCTACCAAGGATGCTTGGAGAATTGCAGGCCATGATGTGCAGAGAATTATTCATGAACCTACGGCTGCTGCGTTATCCTATGGTATGAGCAACAAGGAGGGTCTTGTTGCTGTTTTTGATCTTGGAGGTGGAACCTTTGATATTTCCATCTTGGAGATATCAAATGTTGTCTTTGAGGTATACAAAGTTTGTTTGACAATTTCAACACTTCATTTTATTTCCTGTTTGATGGTAACCACACATTTTCTTTTCAGGTGAAAGATACCAATGGTGACACATTTTTGGGAGGAGAGGATTTTGATAATGCACTGTTAGAATTTTTGGTGAACGAGTTAAAGAGAACTGATGGAATTGATTTAGCAAAAGACAAGCTTGCTATGCAGAGACTTCGAGAGGCAGCTGAGAAAGCAAAGATAGAGCTTTCTTCAACGTCTCTGACTGAAATCAACTTACCTTTTATTATTGGTGATGCATCTGGGGCTAAGCATTTGAATATAACATTGAGTATATCAAAGTTTGAGGCTTTTGTGAATCACTTGATCGAAAGGACTAAGTCTCCTTGCAAGAATTCTTTAAAGGATGCTGGCATTTCAACAAATGAGGTTGATGAAGTTCTCCTTATTGGAGGAATGACCCGTGTTCCTAAAGTCCAAGAAATTGTTTCAGAAATCTTTGGCAAGTCGCAAAGCAAAGGTGTGAATCCTGATGAGGCAGTTGCCATGGGAGCTGCTATTCAGGGTGGTATCCTACGCGGCGATGTGAAAGAGGTGCTTCTCCTGGATGTTACTCCTCTATCTCTTCGTATTGAGACACTAAGAGGCATCTTTACCTGGTTGATCAATAGAAATACCACCATTCCCACAAAGAAAAGTCAAGTAAGCACATGCAGCAGTTTATGTACAATTTCCTCGTTTTCCTTCATTGTGATGGCTCATTTTTACGAAAGAGTGAAAGGCTCGTGTACTGAGTTTCTATAAACTTAGATACACTCGACCCGTTCTTCTCCTTCAACCCCGCTATCGCCGCCGTTCTCATCTGCCCAAAATAAAAAAAGTCGCAAAAATTGAAAAATAATTTATGGG